GTGCTGGGATCACAGGTGCACACTACCATGCCCACCAAGTGGTCTGGATCTTGATCATTCCAATAGGTGTGCAGTGGGATCATATGATTGTTTAATTAGCATTTCCCTGTGGCACAGAATGTGGGCCATATTTCCATGTGCTCCATCGCCATGTCTGTTAAGATCTTTGTCCAATTTTTTAATCAGATTGTTTTCTTATTGTTAATTTAAAGAGCTCTTTGTATATTCTGAGTGACAATCCATTTTTAGATGTACTTTTTGCAAATATTTTATCCCAGACTATGGTTTGTCTTTCCATCCTCTCAAGAGTGTCTTTCATGGAGTAGTTTGTTTTTTTTTTAAACTCTCTTTTTTTTTTTTTTTTTGGTACCGGGAATTGAACTCAGGACCTTGTGCTTATCCGGCAGGTGCTGGTGCCGCTGAGCTATATCCCTAGCCCTTAAACATTTTATTTTAAAGAGAAAAAAACCCAAAATTTCAAAAAAGATAATAGGAGAGTAACAATGATTAATACATTGTGTATTTGTTTTGTTTTGTTTTGTTTGTCTTTTTGAGACAAGGTCTCGCTATACAGTTCAGGCTGGACTTGAGCTCACTTTGTAGCCCAGGCTGGCCTTGAACTTGCACCGATCTGCCTGCCTCAGCCTCCCAAGTGCTGGGATTACAGGCATGTGCCACCACGCCCGGCTACATTGTGTATTGTTATGTTTAAACTAGTTACTCAGAGTACAAGATATAGATATTTAATTGTCATGGAGTAGATTTTTTTTAAAGATGGGGTCTTGCTATGTTGCCAATGCTGGCCTTGAACTCCTGAGGTCAAGAGATGCTCCCACCTCAGCCTCCGAAGTAGCTGGAACTACAAGCACAAGCCACTGTAGCTAGCTCACAGAGCAGAAATGCTTAATTTTACCGAAGTCCACCTAATTGATTATTTCTTTCCTAGGCCATGCCTGGTGTCATTTCTAAAAAAGTCCTCAAACCCATGCCAGAATATGTTCAGCTGGAATATCATAAGGCTTCCCGAGAAGATACTCATCAAACACACGTAACTCATTAATCCAAAGACATTTGGAGATCTATTTCTCCTCACTGCTTTCCCATAAATATTAACAACCCAAAGGTTATAGCTGAATTGATTAAAATTCCTGACAGATGTATTGGAAAGGTGCACGTTTTGAGAAAAGCAGTGCATTCGCCATCCGTGCAGACATCAAAGAGGTGCATTCTGCTGCCCCACACCCCGAAACCAGCACTCAGGCCCTGCTGCACAAGGTGACGGTAGGGCCTCAGAGGCCACTGCGGGTCCTGCCAGGTAGAGGAACTACATTTTACTTTTCAGAAGGAGAGGTAGGGTGATAACACCCCTGAGAACGGGCCCAGGAAGAAAACAGAAGGGACCTCCTCTGGGGTGGACGTCCCTGTGATGGGACACAGGCTGGGGGCATGTCAGATGCCACCAGGATGGGGACAGCTCCAACACGCAGAGGGGAGCTGCTCCATTCACCTGGGTCCGTGGGGCCAAGCTAATTGGTTTAATGGATGGAGCGGGGAGGAGGGGTTGAAGAGAGGTTAGGGGAAGCGGGGAAAGGGGAAAAAAAGAATCAAGTTATATGACGTATAGGTACGAGCTCTCTACGATGAATGTGATCATTACATGTTCTGAAATGTGCCAATAAAGGCCGGGGATACAGTTCAGTAGCACAGCACCTGCCTTGCAAGTATGAGGTCATGAGTTTGATTCCTGATACCACCAAAAAAATTATAAAATGTACCAATAAAATCTGATTTGGGGAAAATAAATAAACAATAAATAAAACTTGAAGAAAAAAATTGTTTCCAATGGTAGAGCAAGGTGGTTACTCTAACCAGGCCCCTGCCAGGGCAGTTTAACAGAAGAAAAGCCTTTTAGGTTTGTAGGGCAAGGTAGTTATTATTTAGTGTTGTTTGCCTGAGGTCGTTGTAGAGGTTTTGATTTTGAAGTGCACTTTAACGTTTACTGTCAGCGAAGGGCAGGCAGGCCAGGAAGGTGTCTGTGAAGTCATGTGAGGCTGGGTCCGCCGAGGACAGCTGCTCCTCTAGCAGAAAGTGAGTATCTGTCTTTGGCTGATGTATCATGTCCAAGTAATGGCTGGGGACAGGCATAATTATAATTTATTTAGCAGCTTCGTGGCCCTTAAGGACACAGAAGAAAGGGAGATTAAGAAATCTCTTCTGAGGCCTTTTAATGAGGGAGAGGCCAACAGAGGGCTGCTGACATATTGGATGGGAACACGGTTTCCAGGAAATGTTATTTAAGTCATTTTTAAGAATTAAGAAGTACAAGCGTTCTGGTCTAAAAGTGCGGATTAAACACACACATCTTTGGTCAATTCCCTCCAGAGCTCTGCTAAATTATAGTAAACTGATTTGTAAAAAATGATAATAAATCAACAAGGATGTGAACAGGAAGGACAGCGGCAGCAACTTGGGGTGAAATTAATTGTGTTAGCGAAGACAAGAGGGACAGTTCTGGGCCGGCTGTGGGCGCAGCTCTCCAGAGGATGAGGAATGAGAGTGCAGCGGGGTGTGGCGGCGCATGTCTGCGAGCTCAGCACTCTGAGACCTTGAAGCAGGAGGGTCAGAAGTCTGAGCCTGGCCTGGGCAATTTAGGGAGACTCTTTCTCAGTTTTATGTATGTATGCATGTTTTTTTGAGACAGTGTCACTATGCACTTTAGGCTGGCCTTCAACTCTGTGTAGCATAGGCTGGCCTCGAACTCACCGTGATCCTCCTGCTTCAGCCTCGCGAGTGCTGGGATTACAGGCATGCGCCACCATGCCTGGCTCTAAAGGAGACTATGTCTTAAAATAAAAAAGGGCTGGGGATGTAGTTCAGTGTGAAGGTCCTAGGTTCAAGCTCCAGTATACCCCCTAAAAAATCCCAAAACAAACAAAAAGAAAGAAAGGAAGAAGAAAGAGACTTTATTTTAAAATTTGGCTCACACACAATAACTAGGTTGGTAAACCCAAAGCCCACAATTAGCCCGTGGGACAGGAGACCTAGTGTTCTGATTCGAAGGCCGCTGGACAGGAGGAGCCATCAGCACATTATAGACAGGCAAGTCAGGCAGAAGACAGCAGGTGTCTAGAGGGGCACTGCGCCCAAGGTAGAGGCAGGATGAGCAGGGCTTGGTCAGATAAGCAGGAGCCTGGGGTCAAAAGTTAACAAGAACCCGGAGGACCATTAAGTCCAGGGGCAGAAGGAGCAAGGTAGCAGCAAGAGGACAGAGGCCCACTATGACAACTCCTGCTCCTCCCTATCTGGAAAGTGTTTTTCCTCCTCACTTTGTCCTTTTAATGAACCACTCAGATAGGACAGAGGCCAACAGGCCCCTGCAGATATATGCTGGCTACATGCCTCGACTCCTCACGGGCCCATTTCTAGTTAAAGTAAGCTGGTTTTAGTCCTCTACGACGTGACCTTACTTGGACTCAGAGTCATCTGAGCCCTGGTTGTTTTTTGGTATAAAAGCTGGAGAAAGAGTCCTGTTGCAACCCACACGTGGGTCCCCTCCCCACTATGGGGAGCTGTTTAATAAACATGCCTCCGGGTTACCTTCTTTGTCCTTGATTTCATTCTTTGACTTTGTGCAACAAGAACCCAGATTGCGCCATTACAGTTGCAGACGACATCTGAGGGTGACCGCCGTGAAAGTCCTGTTCCTCGGGGTGGGTGGTGTCAGCTTTTGGCTGTAGTGTGCTGCGGCCCTCTCACATTATCGGGGGGAGGGGGTCATTCAGTGTCTTTCCCCTGAGCCCCTACACTGAAGCCGCCCCCACCCTGGTGCGCAATGGCACCCCTCACGCCCGGGTCAGTAAGAAGAGTCGGGAGAGGGGTCTTTCCCTTCCCAGCCGTCTGAGACTCAGAGAGGAGTCTCAGGCCAGAAAGAGGCACCTTGACCTTGCATCCCGACCACCAGAGCTACGAGAAGTACATTTCTGTTGTTTACGGCACCCAGGGAATGGTGTTTTGTTGTAAGACAGAGGCTAAACTACTTTACTCAACTCTATTGATTTAAATGCTGGCCTCACCCAACTCACCTTCACAGAAATATCCAGAGTGATGCTTTATCGAGCCTCCAGGCATCCCCAGGCCCAGGAAAGTTGATGTATAGCATCATCACAGTGTCTTAAAAAGGGACAGAGGTAGACAGGATCAGGTGTCTGTAGAGTTGGGGTGAAGAGTGGATCCAAAGTGAGGAGGATGAGGTGGATGCGGTGAGGTCGGGAGATCCTCTCTGGGCCTCCCTGCCCTAACTCCAAGAGGATTCCAGTCCCTTGAGATAGAAATAGGGCTGAGGACTGAGGAACCGAGGACCCCAGGCATAGCTGAGGTCTCGGTACTCTACCAAAAATAGGAAGTCAAGTGACTATTTGTCTTCATCCATTTTGTGTTGCTACAATAGAATACCCCAGTGTCCCGGTGTGCACGCCTGTCATCCCAGCACTCGGGAGGCGGCAGCAGGAGGATGATGAGTTTGAGGCCAGCCTAGACTACATAGTGAATTCAAGGTTGGTCTGAACTACATAGCGAGGACTTGTCTCAAAAAAGAAAGAAATACAACAAAACAACAATAAACAAACTGTTTATAAAGAACAGAGATGCACTGCTTACAGCTCGGGTAGCTGGGAAGCCCAAGGTCAAGGGGTCCGCATCTGGTGAGGGCCTTCCCGCTGCTTTATCCCATGACGCACGTGGAAAGGCAAGAGAGAGCAAGAGGTGGCCAGGTTCACTGCCAAGACAAACCCACACTCAGGTAAGAACATTCGGTCCAGACAGGGGGCAGCGCCCAGGGCAGCAGTGGAAGGCGGAAGCTCCTGTGCCCGACCCCACGGAGCACCCGGGAAGCGGGGCTGTGTGAGCCCTTGGCTTATCCTGCCACTGCTCTGCTTCCTGCTTCTCACGGTGCAGAACCTGTCCCTCTGTCCCCAACAGTGTCTCCATTCTCTCCTGTACAGTGGAGGCTGCTCACCCATGGAATGAGAATAAAGGCGACTCGACAAAACTGAATTGTCACTGAATCAGGATGCAGCGCCACTGGCCTTTAGGGTACAGACAGCAGCCCCTCCGAGGCCGATGGGCCAAGCTGGGGAGGTCACTGCTCACAGCCGAGACCCCTGGGGCCACCAGGAGCTCACCAGGTAAACACCCAGAGTGGGGGAGGGGAAAACGGTCCTGGACAGAAGGGAGACGGACAAGGAGAGAATTGAAAAGGCAAAGAAAAACTCTTACCCACCCAGAGATATACCCATTCTAAAGGATTTTGTTGAAGAGGGAAAGAAGTGGGAGGAGGGGACAGGTTAGGCCTTGGACAGAAGTCCTGACAAGGAGGTGGCGGGCAGGCTTTTCCCCTCCTCTTCTCCTCTTTGCAGAGACCGAAGCCACAAGCTGCGGTCCACGGTGTCAGGCCACTAAAAGAGGAAGAACAAAGGGGTGGGTGCAGGGGCAGAGAGGAAAAGAAACCAGCCCTAGATGCAGAAGGAGAACATAAAAGGGAATAATATACCCTAGCATATATGCATATACTTTTTCTTTTCTTTTTTTTTTTTTGCGGTACCAGGGATCAAACTCATGACCTTGTGCTTGCCAAGCAGGCGCTTATGCCACTGAGCTATATTCCCAGCCCACACATATACATTTTTGTTGTTGCTGTTAAATAAAAATGACAGGACCCCATTGCTGTGGACTAGGGTTCTGCACTGGGCCGCAGGAGACCAAACTGAAAATAAAACTGGAGTCATTCAGGATGAGGTCCATACCTCACCTTCCCAGAAATCGAGAGAGGAGACAGCAGAGTGGACGGGAGACAGGAGTGAGGGGAGAGAAGAGAGGAGAGAGACAGCCAGTTTTCCTCACCAGGCAAGTTTTAATTGGCTGATAATAAAGTTCCCTCTGCTTTAATCTTTATGTCCGTTACTCATTGCAAAAAATAACCTAAAATAATATGATGTTAACTGATGAGTTTTCTATTTTGTCTCCTGCCTCTGCTTTTCAAGGAGCTTTGAAAGAACCAATCTGAAGCTGGGCATGGTGATGCACACCTGTAATCCCAGCACTTGGGAGGCTGAAGCAGGAGGATTCCCTGAAGTTCAAGGCTAGCCTGAACTACACAGCAAGACCCTGTCTCAAAAGAAACAAAGGAAGGAAGGAAGAACCAATACACTTTTCTTTCTGATGTCTTCAGCCCTTTCCTATCCATGAAGCTAACTTTTCTAGAACATCCATTCTAGTTTATAGAACCAAGGGTTGCTGGATTCTAAAATCAAAAATAAAGCTAATTAAGATAATTAAACTAAATTGTTCCCATGGCTGCAATCCTAGTACTCTGGTAGGCGGAGGCAGGAAGGTCACAAATTCAAGTGCAGCCCCAGGAATTTAGCGACTTAGCGAGATGAGAGCCTATCTCAAAAATAAATTAAAAAATAGGGCTGGGGATGTAGCTTAGTGCAAAGGCCCTGGGTTCAACCTCCAGTACCACCATCACACACATACACAAAAAAAGTGGCTACATGATGATTTGGGATACATACACACATACACAAAATGTGATGATTTGGGATACATACACACATACACATGATGATTTGGGATACATCACACACATACACAAAAAAAGTGGCTACATGATGATTTGGGATACATACAAGTAGCAAAAAGGTTACTGTAGCCAGTTGTGGTGGCCGCATGCCTGTAATCCCAGTACTAGGGAGGCAGGATTGCGGCTAATTTGAGGCTAGCCTGGACTACACAGTGAGTTCAAGGGCGGCCTGAACTGCATAGTGAGACCTTGTCTCAAAAATCAAAAACTGAAAAGGTACTGTAGTGAAACGTATAAACATATCCATCACTTCCAAGACTTTTAGAACATTTTTGTGCAAGAGTAGCTAAAGCCTACTCATTTAGCATGCATACAATATACAGAACGTCTTGATTACCTAGAGGTCTCATGCTGTACATTAGATCTCTAGATGTATGTGACATGTCTGCTATTTTTGTATCCTCTGACCTACAGCTCTCTGCTTCAATGGTTTTCTCTATTTTGTATATTTGAGGTACTTTGAATTTTTCTAGATTTCACATAAGAGATCACGTAATATTTTTTTGACTGGTTTGCTTCGTTTAGCATACCGTCCTCCAGGCTCACCCATGTTGTGACAAATTGGCCAGATCATGTTCTTTTTTAGGGCTAATATTCTACTATTTTGTACCAGTTTCATTCATTCATTCCTCCTCCGACACTTAGCTTGTTTTTTTAACTTGGCTATTGTGAATAATGCTGCCAGGAACACGAGTGGAGATATTTTTAGGACGTGATTTCATTTCCTTTGGGAAATGAGCCTGTAATCTCAGCACTCGGAGGCTGAGGCAGGAGGACTTCTGTGAGTTCAAGGCCAGCCTGGGCTATATAGTGAGTTCAAGGCCATCCTGAACTACATAGCAAGACTGTCTCAAAAATCAAAAATGAGAGAGGGAACAATATGGGTCCCAGGGTAGTTCTGTTTTTAATTTATTTAGAAACCACTAAACTAGTTCCCATAACGGCTGCATCAATGTATTATCAACTCATAATGCCCTCGGTTTTTCTTAAAAGAAAGGAAGGAAGGAGGGAAGACACGGTGGGAAGAGATAAAGAAGAAAAGGTCTCCTGGCATCACAGGGCCCGTACTGTGGGTGGGGGGCAGTCAGCTGCAGCTTAAGCGTCCCACGCAGGCGCTTCAGTGTCCCTTGAATCACCTGCGATTATCGCCCCACTTCCCTGTCAATGACAATCTACGGTTGCCTGTGCGCAGGAGTAAGGGCGGGGCAGAGGCCAGGGCTACCAACCGGCCCTACTCGTCCAGAACCTAGAGATGGGGACCCACAGACTGGCCCTGGCCTGTGGGAACTGCGAAGTCTCAGCTCCTGTCAGTAACACCACGGTACCGGCTCCAGGCGCGTGCTTCATTTAAATCCTTTGCCGACACAGAAACACACAAAAACAAAAGACCCAACTAGCCCCGGAAGTCAGAGTAGAACCATAGTCACCTGACCCTCCGTTGGGGACTCTGATTGGGTTGTGTGAATACGTGGCCCTCCCGGCGCCGTACGTCTGTACCGCCCTGGGCGGGGACAAATGATAGAGGCAATGGTATTGGTCAGCTGCCTCCGGATACAGCCAATCAGGATCTCCGGCTCGGCGGCGCGAAGTGAGCTGGCGCCGCGCGCTGGGGACGTAGTCGCCAGCGCGCGGAGTTTGGATCGCGTTTCCGCGGGACCGAGGGGGCGAGAGATCGGTGAGTGCAGCGCCCGCGAAACCGCGACCTGCCAGCCGAGGCCCAGGTCCTTTCTTGGCGTCCGGCCCTGAGCTAGAGGTCTCTAGGGTCCCCCCGTTGTTCGCGCCGGCCGGCCGGGGCCCACTGGGTTCTCTTGTGAGGCGAGCGCCCCCGGGCAGGGCCGGGCCGAGCGCCGATTCTGCGCGTCGCGGTGCCGCGAGGCCGCCCCTTGCCTTGCGGGTGTGAAGTCCGCCGTTCGTCCCTCACGTGGGAGAGATGACTCCTGCATAGTTTTGCGAGGATCAAATACGTGCAATACATGGCTTCAAAGAGCGCGAAATACACACTGAGGTTCTGTTGCCCACAGAAGCGGGTACAGTCGTCCTCCTGTTACACGTGGAGGGTCTGAAGCACAAGGGGGGCTCGGAGAGAGCAATTGGTGATTAAAGGTTGGAGACAGCATTTGAACCGAGAGCTGCCTGGCTCCAAAGCATCTCTCCCGACATGAGGCTTTCTCCTGTCTTCAGGGAGGTGAAGCACTCATGGTGCGAGGTGGGGTGGGCACCGACAGCTCCGATGCCACCCGTGTAGGTCAGTAGCAGCCCGTGCCGCGGTCTAGGTGAACCGGCGGCAACGGGAGAGACCTGCTGAGAGATCGGACGTCCGGGAAGTAAGTACATTCAGTTGAATCAGCATTTTGTTAGCAGGGTTGCCACATTCTCAGAAAGTAACTTAGAGGTTCCTGGTAGAGAATGAGTTTTCCAGGTCTTGAATCACTTCCAATTCCAGTCACCATGGTGGCCACCCTCTACATATAATTTGCAATCCTAACGGTAACCCGGAGAGGTACCTATTGCCTTACTTTACTAAGGAGGAAAAATTAGGGCTGAGGATGTAGCTAAGTGGTGTAGAGTATTTGCCTGGCGTGCACGAAGCCCTGGGCTGGAACCTTAGCACTACAAAAACCAAAACACTCATAGTGATAGTGTTAGATATGTAGTATAAGAACAAAATGTAGCTGGACGTGGTGATGTGAGCCTGTAATCTCAGCACTCAGAGGCTGAGGCAGGAGGACTTCTGTGAGTTCAAGGCCAGCCTGGGCTATATAATAGTGAGTTCAAGGCCATCCTGAACTACATAGCAAGACTGTCTCAAAAATCAAAAATGAGAGAGGGAACAATATGGAGGGGCATTATCAACATGTAAGTTAGTGTTCCCTGTGGGAGGGAGGGAAGGAGAATGAGATTTTAAAATATATCTGAAATTTTTTTTTGCCTTTAAAAGGAAAATAGGATAGAATTTAACTTAAATTTGGTTGGTGAGTATATGGGTATCAGTCTATCTGCTATACTTTACTGTGTGTATCCTTTAGCATTTTTTTTTTTTTTTTTTCTGAAGAAAAGATAAAGAGGTCCAAGGTAATTGTAAAATTACTTTGGGAACTTAGTAGTAAAAGCCTGTGAGGTTTCTGTTACCTGTAGGTAAAATCTAAATCTCTTAGTGCCGTGGGCAAGTGACGCTCAGTCTGTTGGATGTCAGATGTGCTGAGTTCATGTCTCTCATTAACCAAAGAATGGAGACAAGGACAAAGGAGGTTAAGAATAGGAAAAGGGGGGCTGGGGATTTAGCTCAGCGGCAAAAGCGCCTGCCTGGCAAGCGCAAGGTCGTGAGTTCGGTTCCCGGTACCGGAGAAAAACCAAAAAAAAAAAAAAAAAAAAAAAAAGAATAGGAAAAGGTTGCTGCCTAGGCTTTGTCCAGGGATAATTCTCACAAAAATCACAAGCTTGGTAGCTATGGGTCAAACTACACTCAACCTTGTAGGACTACAAATATAGTAGTTTAATATCAATCCAATAGGGAGAAGCATGTCACATAGCAAGGATGTACAGTGGGCGTCGTTGACATCAGCTTATTTTCAATTTCTAACATAGAACAAAGGCATTTTGGGAGAAAAAACAGGAATATGGGTCGGGGTGTTCTGGTTACCCACCTATGCACTGGACATCTTATCGGGGCTCACTGCACCAGGTGGTGCCGACTACACTGTGAGTTCAGGCTGCTGTCCTTCTCTAGGGAGGCTGCAGGCCTTCCAGTTCGTCTCCACCCACAGTTTTCATATGGCTCATCTGTGCTGACTTCCTCCCTGACTGCCTGTTAATTTCTGACTTAGCCATCTATACCATGAAACCTTTGCGTAACCGGTACCCTAACCACACAGCTACTGTTCTACCTCAGTCTTTGTCCAGATAGTACAGACTACTCTTCACATGCTCAGTCCTGTCTGGAAGGTTCCACTTCTCCAGTACCCAACTCTGTTTTTTTGTAAAGCTTCTCTAACAATTTTCTTGTGTTTTTTTTTCATCTGGGAGGCCATAAGGCTTTTAAGAAAACATTTTATGTCAGACTTATCCCGTTGCATTGTAATTATGTGTTGGTATGTCTATTTCCTGCTAGTCTGGAAGCAGTAATTATTTCTCATCTCTGCACTGTAGTGTCTACCATTCCTCCTGGCACAGAGTAGTTACTGGGGTAAATAGTAGCTGAGTGAAAAATACAAATCAAAGTCAGAGAGTACCAGTTCTTGGACTTAACAACATACGGACTCATTCTCTACAACAGCAAGGAACTACTGAGTTTACTTTGTTTAAAAATTCCTGTATCTTATTGAAACATTCTTACTGTCAAAAAAACATTGCAGTCATAATCCTTTCAGTCACTTCAGTTATTTTTAAAAATTTATTATGAGAAACAAGATACATTAAAAAATACAAATTATAAAATGTAACTGTACATTAAAATTATATTGTTCAGTATTACAGCTCTTTCAGAATTTGGGTAGCACATTTTACAGAAACCTCCCTGCCCAAATTATGTTGTGTAGAGAGTAAATATAAAGACTAATTATAGCCAGGCATGGTGGTGCATACCTGTAATCGCAGCACTTGGGAGGGTGAGGCAGGAAGATCCCTGTAAGTTCTAGACCAGCCTAGGCTACATAGTGAATTCAGGGCCAGCCTGAATTACAGAGCAAGAAGCTGTCTTAAAAACAAAAAACAAAACAAAATAAAAGACTAATTATAAAATCGCAATTACACATCACTGTTACTGAGATCAAGAAGTAAAACATAGCCAGATGTGGTGGCATACACCTGTAGTCCCAGCACTCTGAGAGGCTGAGGCAGAAGTATCAAGTTTGAGCACTGCCTGAGCAACTTAGACCCTGTCTCAAAATATGAAAGAGAACTGAGAATGTGGCTCAATAGTTCAATTCTCAACGCTGCCCCCCGCCCAAAAAAAAAGACAGGGATTGTAGAAATGTTTGTTCTTTATAACCTTCTCCTCCTAATTGGGATGACTGTTCTGCTTTGGGGGATAATAATTTTCTTGTCTTCATAGTTTACTTCCTTCTGTGCATCCATGAATAATATAGCTCAGTTTTGCTTGGTTTCAGAGTCTGTAAATGTGATGATACCATGTGTATTTTAGTACATTTGTCTTGTTTAGTTTAATATTCTGCTTATGAAATTCTTCCAGATTATAGCCATTGGTTTTTAAATTTTAAATATTTTTTATAATTTTAAAATGAATTTTACTAATGCACTTATTTTATTGCTGTAAAACATTCCATTATGTGATTATGCCAGGGTTAACAGTTCTGAATTTTTAATTTTATTGTGGTAAGCACACTTAGCATCACGTCTACCTTAATAGATTTTGAACATTATAGTACAAGCACAGTGTTGCGCTGCTGATCTCAAGCTCTTCCTCACCCTGCATTGCTGACACTGTGCACCCTTTGTTAGTGCTCCCCAGTCCTCACCCTGTGAGTCCGACTGCTTTAGGTCCCTCATAGACGTGGAATCCTGCAGTACTTGTCCTTCTGTGACTGGTGTATTTCTCTTAGCAAAATGTCTTCAAGGAAATAGTTTGAACTATTTGCTAACATTTTCCATTTTATTTTATTTTATTTCTATAACAGTATTTCTTTCTTTCTTTCTTTCTTTCTTCTTTTCTTTTCTTTTCTTTTCTTTCGTCTTTTTGAGACAGGGTCTCATTATGCTGTTCAGGCTGGCCTCCAGCTCAGTTTGTAGCCCAGGCTGGTCTCAAACTTACAATGATCCTCCTGCCTCAGCCTCCCGAAACAGTATCTATTTCTACAAAGCAAAAGGAGAACTTTACCCTGTGTTGATAAATGTAATCCAGGTTCCATTGCTAAGAATGTGTTGTCCAAACTGCCTGTGTAGCTTTTCAAGATGGAACTCCACGCTTTGCTTGCTTTTAAGTATATATGGAATGTTATGATAGGATATAGTAGTGGGGGTCAGACATTGAAATAGTGGGGAGAGAAAAATATACATGTGACATAAATGCAGTGTTTTAATTTAAAAACTCGTTTCATAATCCCAGCATTCAGGAGGTTGAGGCAGGAGGATTGCTGTGAGTTTCAGACCAACCTGGACTACATAGCATGATCCTATCTCAAAAAAACTAGATTGAAAATGAAAATAAAATAAATATCTTCCATGCTGGATATGGTGGTACATATCTGTAATCTCACCAATCTTGGAGGCTGGGCAGGAGGATCACAAGTTCAGGCCCAGCCTGAACTTAGTGACTTAGTGAGACACTGTCTCAAAAAAAAAAAAAAAATTAAATGGCTATGTGTGAAGCTCAGTGTGATGGCCTGGGATTTGATTCCCCATACTAAAGAAAAAAGTCTTTGGTGTTCATCTACTTTGTCTCATATTGCAGGATTTCCTTTTTTTTTTTTTTGTCTTTTTGAGACAGGGTCTCACTATGCAGTTCAGGCTGGTCTTGAACTCACTTTGTAGTCCAGGCTGGCCTCAAACTCAAAATGATCCTCCTGCTTCAGCCTCCTGAGTGCTTGAATTACAGGCGTGCATCACCACGCCCTGCTCCATCTTTTTATTTTTTTTGTCTTTTTGAGGCAGGGTCTCATTATACAGCTCAGGCTGGTCTTGAACTCACAATGATCCACCTGCCCCAGCCTCCCGAGTGCTGGCATTACAGGCCTGCGCCACCATGCCTGGCTGCTCCATCTTTTTAAAGGCTAATATTCTACTGTATGTGCATGTGTAACAATGTAAAGGAAATCCCATTGTCTGTACCTGTGTTATATTTCATTCCTGTTTTAACAATTCAGCTTTCTGAATACTAGTGGGCTTTTTCCTTCATTTCTGCAGTAGACAATGACTGTGTCCTGCAGCTTAGCTCATTTCCAACACTGTGCAGACCCCAGTATGCCAAGGAGTCAGTCCCACCACTGTGGCTCCCAGCACTCCCTCAGTTTTGCTTCAGAGTCCTGTCCCAGGTGGAGAATCTCCACACTACCCGCAACTTCTGTCCAACTTGGCTGCAAAGTGGAGATTCTCACAAACACTTTCTGTATTGGCTTCAGTAATTTGCTAGAAAACCTCGCAGAAAGCAAGGAAAACAGTTTGCTTACTAGAGTAAGCTTCATTAGAAGAAGATCCAACTCAGAAAGAGCAGATGGAGGACGTGACACATGGTAAGGAGTGTGGGAAGGGTCTGGGGCGTCCAGCCCTCTGGGTGTGCGTTCACTGAATCCCAACTTTTGGGGTTTTATAGGCTTTGCTGACTTGGCATGATTGAATGCATCGTAGCAAGTGGTGATTTAGTCTCTCCAGT